GTAACGCGGCAGCCCCATCACTCCACCATCTCTCCCCTTTGCATGTCCACATGTGCATGAAGTGTGCATTTCAGCCTGTGTGTGTATAAAAAAAAGAGTGAAAAAAACAATTTCCCCCTAGGGGGAGCAATAAAGTATTTCTTCTTCTTCTTCTTCTTCTTCTTCTAAACCCCTCATGGCCATCATTATACAAGGCAAACATAGGCTGTGCAGGTCTAGTGGCATTAACTTCAGCTTCAATGTGTTTTATAGCAAACATTACTTTATCATAATCAGTCTGAGGTGCTGACTCACCCAGTGTTGTGTGTGTTGCAGGCTGGTCAGTCACTGGAGTCCATTCTATTTCCTCCCACACTAAGTCCACCTTGTGGAGTGTGTTTTCATCCATCTCCCTTTTCACACAGTCCCTGCACCAATGTTCAGTTTGGCCTCTGTCTGTGTTTTGATCTACTACATGTTCAGCATGCTCTGATATGGTCTGCAACAAAGCTGTTTTCCATGAAATATGCCTCTTTCCTGCTTCAGCAGAGATTTCTGGTTTCATTCAACCCAGGAAATGTTCTTTCTGCTACAGGATATGGCTGCATACTCTCTGCAGGGAGGACTAAAGAGTAAAGCTTCCATATCCAGGGAAGCCCATTTCTACTCATTTATCATTGGAGCTTTTTTTTTTTTTTGAGCCATGTATTTTACAATTGGTGGAAGGATTTTAGGTCCTGTGTCCCTCACATATTTTGCTGAACTCTGACTTTCCCACAACTCAGATTTCCTATCTCTATTTTGTCTCTTGTAATGACAAGACATGTCTGAGTGCAGATATCTTGTGTTCCCAGAATATTCTCGTCGGCTAGTTAAATTTAGTTGGTGCGGCTTATATTCAGGTGCGCTCAATAGTCCGGAAATTATGGTATTTATTCATTTCTCACCGTGTAAGTTCTTCCCCTCAGTGCCAGTGTGTGCTTCAGCACATTTCTGCTTATGTAATGAGTCTTTTTTTTCTCTCCTAGTCTTTCTTCTCTTGACCTCGCCATCACATACTGCAGGTCAGTCCATTCTCCTGTGCGATTCCTACAATTCCTGTAGTTTTCCATGTATGTTATGTGCAAAGTATAAAAATATTGTATTGCTTCCATGCCTGATAGGTGTGCAGATCAGATTACCTGGGACTGGGTCTACTTGGTGCGAAGACAATACCTTTTTTCTTCACCAAGTTACTAAATGTATTAAAAAATTAAGTAAAACTCCTAAGAAATTTGCATCTAAATTGTCAATTAAAAGTTCACCCTAACATATTTCACTATTTTATATTCTCCATAAACAAAACTCCTAAATACAATAAAAACAGTGGCTGGATAGATTCAACCTGCTGGGTTAACATTGCTGTAGTGCTCATTATGTTCATAGACACACGTCTACCTCTGTGTACCTCTCCATTAGGTGTGCAGATCAGATTAGCTGGGTCTGGGTCTACTCGATGCTCTGGAAGAGTTGAAGTCTATTACAATGATACCTGGGGAACAATCTGTGATGACAACTGGGACTTTAATAATGCTAAGGTGGTGTGCAGAGAGTTGGGCTGTGATACGGCACCAAGTGCCCCTCAGTCAGCCCGCTTTGGTGAAGGAACCGGACCAATCTGGCTTGATAATGTGGACTGTTCAGGAGGTGAAAGGTCTCTAAGTGAGTGTCAGCATGGAGGATTTGGGAGACACGACTGTGGACACCACGAGGATGCTGGTGTGGTCTGTTCAGGTGAGAAGATATTTTTATTTATAAGATTTTGCTGATTAAGCTAGCCATAGATGCTTAAAGTGAAGGGGGCCTGATAATGGCAGTTAGTATATGGCAACTGATTCACCGGAAAATTGTTTAGTAATATGCGCCACTATAGCATGGAGCCCCTTAGGGACAAGAAGGAGAAGAAAAAATATATAGGTTGGAAAAAGATTTTAAGTTAAAACTCAATGGTCAAAATACTACCTGGTCTTTGCATCACAAGTTTGGGAAACCATCAACCCTGAGCAATGAAGACGTTCATGGAGTTTTATTTAGATTTGTGGCTCCAAATACAAAGAAATTAAGAAACCGGAAAAGGTACTCAAACTTGGCAGACCTAGCTAGTAGGGGTGAGCAATTACACCATTGTCTGTTTACTGGAGGCTGAGCCTCACTGATTACTGTACAAAACACACAGGTCTTATACATTTATTTACAGATTATTAACAGAAAACATACTCAAGCATAGCAGACCTAGTTAATTTCATTTGCGACCAACTGCAGTATTCCACACACCTTCAATTACCAATAAATGTGTGCCAAATGGAGAAATCAACTAGTGAGGTCCGCCAAACTTGAGTATGTTTTCCGTCGAGAATATCCCCTTGCTTGCAATAGCCTATTCAGCTGTCTTTCACTTATTTGAAAACCATGCCTAGAACTGACCACTGACATAATGTCTCATATTAGAAGCTAAGATCAAACTCTATGAATCTCTGCATAGCTTTGATTTGCTCTTTCCCAAACAGCAAAACATGTGACCTGGAAATGTTTTGACCCCAGGGTTTTGCCTGGGAATACTATTTTACACTTGGGATATGCAAAATATTTGTGAGCTAGTACAACTTTGTTTTTTTGTTTTTCACCCATGTCCTTAGTTGATTCTGAATCTCAAACAGAACCAGTGAATGGAGGCCAGAAGTATACGCTATTTCAAGAACTCGTTGAAGCATTTTCTTAACTCCAGGAGATAGAGGAATGCACTTGCCTGAATAAAGACAATAGCAGTAGTCTGAATGAGAGATCTAAGCATGTAAATAGTCTCAGTCTCTTGCATTCACATAGCTATTGTGCTCATTATGTTCATTGCCACATGTCTACCTCTGTCTACCTCTCCATTAGGTGTGCAGATCAGATTAGCTGGGTCTGGGTCGACTCAGTGCTCTGGAAGAGTTGAAATCTATTACAATGATACATGGGGAACAGTCTGTGATAACAGCTGGGACTTAAATGATGCTACGGTTGTTTGCAGAGAGTTGGGCTGTGGTACGGCACGGGATGCCCCTCAGTCAGCCCACTTTGGTCAAGGCAGTGGACAAATTTGGCTTCATAATGTGGGCTGTTCAGGAAGTGAAAGGTCTCTAAGTGAGTGTCTGAATGGAGGATTTGGGACACACAGCTGTGGACACAGTAACGACACTATTGTGGACTGTTCAGGTAAGAAGACAGTATTTTTGGATACGGTTTTGCTTATTCAGCTAGCCTTGGATGCTTAAAGTTGAAGGGCCCTGACACTGGCAGTTAGTATATGGTCATTAGATTAACATAAATTGTTTGGTAATATCCATCACTAAAGTCCAAAGACCCTTAGAGGACATAGGGCAGAAAAAATGTGGGAAAAAAATATGAGTGGAGGTAAAAAAAATTAAAAATAAAAAATAAACAGAGAAACTGTTGCATCTCCCCAGAGAAATATTTTGAGTGGAACAAAGTACTTCCAGTAAAAACCCAATGGTCAAAAAGCTTCCACGTCATTGCATTACACATTGTTTTAAAAACAATAAACCCTGAGAAATCGAGAGGTTCATGTGATTACACCATTGTCCTTCTCTTGGGACTGAGCCTCACTGATTACTGTACAAAAACACACAGGTCTTACATTATTAATTATTCACAGATTATTAATTGAAAAGATACTCTAGCCTAGCGTGCCTAGTTAATTTCATTCGCGACCAACTGCAGTATTCCGGACAACTTCAGTCCAAATGGAGAAATCAACTAGTGAGGTCTGCCAAACTTGAGTATTTTTTCAATCGAAAATCTTATTCGCTAAGCACTGATGTAATGTCTCCATATTTGAGGCCAAGGTAAAAACTCTATGAACCTCTGCATAGTTTTGGTTTGCTCTTTCCCAAACAGCAACACGTGTGAAGAAATTACCTGGAAATGTTTCAACCTCTGGTTTTACCTGGAAATACTTTTTTTGCATTCGGAGAATGTAAAAGTTTTGCAGGGTTACACTTGGGATATGCAAAATATTTGTAAGCTAGTACAAATTGTTTTTGTTTTTTCAACCCATGTCCTTAGTTGATTCTGAAGCTCAAACCGAACCAGTGAAGGGAGGCCAGAGGTAATCTCTATTTCAATAACTCGTTGAAGCATTTTGTTAACTCCATTAAATGGAGGAATGCACTTAGTCTATTTAAGAGGACATAAAGGCATGGAAATAGTTTCAACCAATTGGGTTAACATGTTGTTAAACACACAAGCTGTAGTACTCATTATGTTCATTGTCACATGTTCATAGACCTTTGTCTACCACTCCAGTAGGTGCACAAATCAGATTAACTGGGTCTGGGTCTACTCTGTGCTCTGGAAGAGTTGAAATCTATTACAACAATACCTGGGGAACAGTCTGTGATGACGACTGGGACTTAAATGATGCCAATGTGGTGTGCAAAGAGTTGGGCTGTGGTATGGCACTGGGTGCCCCTGAGTCTGCCTACTTTGGTGAAGGAACCGGACCAATCTGGCTTGAGGATGTGGACTGTTCTGGAAATGAAAGGTCTCTAACTCAGTGTCAGCACAGAGAATTTGGGACACACAACTGTAGACACAGTCAGGACGCTGGTGTGGTCTGTTCAGGTGAGAGGACATTTTTATCACTCATCTTTAAATGCAGTAATTATGTTAAATCCACCAGTTTCCTGCATGCAAAACACCTGACTTGTGGATAAAATGTAAGTTCTATAAGAGAAATGAGGACTCATTAAAGACTTGATGGAGGAGGTTTTATGGGAGGACGTGCACAGCCAATCTTGATGCTGAATTAGCTTATCTCACATTCATGAATGTATTGACATCCATTTTTGACAAATGCTTTCTGCTTGTTCAAATTAACAGGAAATGTAGCCCAAAAGCTAAAAACCATGGATTACTTATTTAGCCTATTTAGTATTAAATTTTCTGAAAAATTATCATTTTACAAAATTACTTAGAATTGCCAAAAAAATAAATAAATAATTGAACAAACACATAATGATTGCATGGAATAGTGCATGATGGTATTCTAGAAATAAGAGACTCTGCTGCAGGGCATAGTTAGATTAAATCTAGTCTTGTAGTTTTTGCTATTGTTAAACTCCATGCTTTAACTCCACCTCAAAACAGGTACAAAGCATGTACAGTATATATAGTGGACAGAGCTTCCGGGTCTGAAAAGTGAAGCTAATGCTTAAACCTGCATTATATGTAAAGGCCAGAAGGGGGAGTTCCATTGGCTGCAATAACACGCAGATACCTTTCACTCTAATGGAGAATGAGCCGACTAGTTGAACGTTTATGGTCTCAATCGTTAGTTTCACACCTTCTACAATACATGATGTCCATTTTGTAAATTATGGTCCAATTTAGAGTAAAATAGACGAAAAAGCCACATATGCTTTTGTCAGTCCATTTCTGGTTTGAGCCCCACCCATTCTGAGTACAAATACAAATACAGATAATTTAGTTGGTTTAGCAGATACAGATAATGGTGTACTCACTCATCCCTAATGTCACTCTAACATTGTGATATATTTTCAGTGAGTCTCCCCAAGCCCAGCATCTCCATGAAGCCTATTGGTGAAGTTACCTGGGGTCAGGACATTGGCATTACTTGTTTAATCCCAATTCAGCATTCAGTTGGAACTTTTATCCTGCAGAAGACCTCAGGCTCATTCAGAAAGACCCAAACATCAAGTACCAACTCTGCTACCTTCAGCATCCTCAAAGTGAACTTTGATCGTGAGGGAGCGTACCAGTGTCAGTATCAGATACAGATTTCAAGTCGAGACTTCAGCTCCCCCTTAAGTGACTCTGTCAGACTCTCTGTTACTGGTAAGGAAAAATACATTTCCTGCATTTTTTGTTTTCTTTCTTTCTTGTATTCATTTGTGAAGAAATTCCAAGAATTGAAATAAAGAGATACACCTCAGCTCACAGGCAGTATTCACCAATCAGCCATAACATTGTGAGCACTGACAGGTGAAGTGAATATCACTGATTATCTGGTTATCATGGCATCTGTCAGTGGGTAGGATAT